AAAGGCGTTCGACACAGTGAGTCAGCGTATATTACTCAGATCGATGGAAAAAATAGGAATAAGAGGTATTCCTCTTAAATTATTCAACAGTTATCTCAATGATAGATATCAAGCTGTTGAAGTTGATGATGTCACTAGCGATATGCTGGAAATTGATTGTGGAGTGCCACAGGGAAGTGTTCTTGGGCCAGTTCTGTTCAACATATATTTGAATGAACTGTGAAAACTCCCATCAAATGGTAAAATTACGTCCTATGCTGATGACACTGCCATATTTTATAATGGGCGAGACTGGACAATTCTGAAACATATGGTAGAGCAAGATCTTGATATAATAAAGAGACGGATGAAAAATACACTCCTAACTATGAATTATTCGAAAACATTTTATCTACCTATTCATAGAAATAGAGCGAATGAACCGAACTTTAATAAACTGAATATTAGCCCTGACATTTCAATAAATTCGTGTACTGAATACAAGTATCTAGGTGTGATAATTGATCATCAGCTCAAATGGAACAGACATATTGATTATGTTATGAAGAAAATTCAGTACCTTTTATATAAATTCAGGATGTTGAGGGATATACTCAATATAAAACAGTTGAAATTAATTTATTATGCCTTAGTCGAGTCTCACATAACATATGGTTTGTAAGGATGGTGGGGTGTGGCCAAAACGTTCCTGGAAAAACATGAAATAATACAGAAGAAGATAATCAAAATGATGTATAGAAAGTGGAATGTTGGACCCAAGACAACTCTATTTCCAAATTTCTAACGCAAGACAGAAACGAACAAAAGAAAACCTTCAACAGTTAGAACACACATATAACACAAGAAATAAAAATAACACATACCTCCCTCCATTCATGACAAAATCAATTGGCCAGAGAAGCAATCACTATCAAGGCCCTAAACTATATAACTTCCTACCAATGAGATAAAAAATATATCACATCCCTTTGTATTCAAGAAAAAATTGAAATAATTCATATTATCAAGCAGTAGACAAACTATCCATAACATTATATATCCATATATTCAAGAAAAAATTGAAACAATTCATATTAGCAACCAGTAGACAAACTATCCATAAAATTAAATAACGTTACATGAAACTCAAAATTATGATATTAACGGACGATGCTATTACTTTTACCAAACAAATTTTATAGAATATGTACTACTCCATTTATAACTATCCTCGTGTTTATATTTTATTTCTTATTTTATCTGTACTGATTTATCTTCTTAATGCACCTTCAATTTTAATGTCAATGTTAATAGGTATGAATATATTGTTATACATTCACTTATCATTATGAAAATTATTATCATCATAATGTTTTTATTTTATTTTACTTCATTATTATAATCTATATTTTTTTTTTTTTTATCGCTTGGAGCGCACGAAAGGGAATCCCTATAATGTTCAAAGAACATCGTGCGTTCCTAGGGAGGATAGGAATAGGAGGTAGGTATTGGAATTTTTTTTGAACTTTTGGAGATTATATGTTGTTGGGAATACTTCCACAGGCAATGAATTCCAGAGCCTAGCCGTTCTATGGATGAAGGAGTCTTGATAAAGTGCTGTTCGACATCTTTCGAGGTTGACAACGAAAGGATGTGCTGACTGGGCTTGTCTAGTTCGTCTGATTGGTATTGCTAGTGAAGGGATGATAGCAGAGATTTCCGAAGAACATTTCCCGTGGAAGTATCGATAGAAAAGTGAAAGGTCGCCGACCTTTCTACGGTGTTCTAATGATGTCAAAGAGTGAGTGAGTGTGGCGTCACCCACCAGGCGAATGGCTCTTCTCTGGATGGAATCTAAGAGCATCAGCGTATGTTTTGGTGCTGAACCCCATATGTGGGAACAGTATTCTAGAACAGGCCGTATCTGCGCTTTGTAGATCATGAGAAGCTGTTGAGGTGTAAAGTAGCTTTTCGCACGGAACAAGAATCCGAGTTTTTGTGAAGCAGCTTTTGCGATGGATCTGACATGATTATCCCATGAAAGAGTGTTGCTGATGGAAATACCGAGCATAGATATGGTGGGCTTGGTGGGGATGGTGGAGCCAGACATAACAATATCGGGCATATTGAAATTATGATTAATATGTTATTCTTGATATTTTATCATTATTATTGTTATTATTAATAGGTATTGTGAATCAAGTTAGCTATGATGTATACTCAACTAATTATTTATTTAATGTTAATCAATTTGTTCAGCTCCGCACAAGTTTACTTACTGGAGCGTAACCTGTTCGGAAATGTCTGTTATTGTATTCATGTTTGTTCTCTTAATGGCAATAAATACAATTTATTATTTATTATTATTATTATTATAGTATGAAAAACGGGATCGTCGGCGCTATAAGGAAATATCAGGGTTGTTTTGTTCACACTTTACAATTAACAATAAAAGGCTCCATTGATTGCCAAAGGGCAGTAATAGATGTTATTGCCAAAGCAAGAAAAATTGTTACTCATTTCAATCATTCTGCAACTGCTTGTGATAAACTCAAAAAGCTACAAGAACAAATGAATGTGCCAACAAAAAAACTTATCCAAGATATACAAACCAGATGGAACTCAACCTATTACATGCTGGAACGATTACTAGAACAAAAAGAGGTTATCAGTATTTATATCTTGGATAATCCAGTTTTGACAGACCTAACATTCCACCAATGGGATTTGGTTCAGAAGCTCATCAATCTTTTACAACACTTTGAGGAAATAACTAAACTCTCAAGTAACAGGGAGTGTTGCATATCAGAGGTGATACCCCTAGTTAAAACAATAGATTCGTACTTGAGCAACCGTTCAAATAGTGCCATATTATCTGGTGTAGACACATTGGGGAGTGAACTACAAAAAAACTTGGGAAAACGATTCAACCATATTTTTACTGAAGAAAGTTTTACGCTGGCCACGTTGTTGGATCCACGTTTCAAGAACAGTTTTTTTGGCAATGAAGGCGGACCAATCTATGAAATATTAAAAAGAAAAATTACTGTTCAAGAGGGAGGCAGCGGCATAATCGAAACTATTACGGATGGTGAATGTGATGGATAGGGCAATATAGTTGCGTTTTATTCGTTTTATTCTGGAAGCGGTAGGAAGGTCGGAATGACGTTAATGAATAAAACGGTGAATGGTAGCCACACGCCACACGACTGGAGGAAAACTAAAACTAAGGGTTATATTCACGCGAAAATGATTGAAGAGATGGAGATACAAATTTTGGGGGCCCTGATTTCGGTGACAGTAGAGAATATTACCAGATCGAGAATATTCATTGCATTCGGAAATGATGATATGGACCCTGTACTGATAGACAGAATTGTGAGTATGTAAGTTTTCATTTCATTTTATATAAAAAATTAATAATTTTTTCATTCTAGGATGCAATCTGGAACTATCCCCAAAGTTGCTGATTTTTATGAGCAAGTAATACCCTCATATGATTTTCAAACATTTAGAAGTCATTTCAGAATGACCCCAACATGTTTTGAAATTACTCTCAACAAATTACAAAATAGCGACATATTCAAGAAACCATATTCTGGTGGTAAAGAACAGCTGAAAATAGAAAAAATGTTACTGATCACCATTTGGGTATTGGGAACACCAGAGAGCTATAGGTCTGTAGGAGATCGCTTTGGTGTTTCCAAATCAACTGTCTTTTTTTGCTTGCATACCACTGACAGAGCAATAAACTCAGACCTATGTAAATTATATATCAAATGGCCATCTCCATATGGCTTAGACAGAGTTATTGGTGTTATCGATGGTTGCCACATACCAATGAAAAAACCAGCATCACATCCATTAGATTATTACAATACGAAAAAATTTTACGCCAAAGGTGCTGCAAGGCATTTGTAAAAATGATTGAACATTTATTGATGTTGATATTCGTTGGCCTGGAGGCGTTCATGATGCTCGAGTATTAATAACATCAGATATTTATCCTCTTGGGCTCAATCTGTGTGCACCGAATTATATCTTATTGGGAGACTCAGCTTATCCATTATTGAAATGGCTATTAACCCCTTGCAGAAATAATGACCATTTAGATGATTCCTAAAAATTCTACAACCAAACTGTTTCTAAAACAAGGGTCAGGATAGAACATTCATTTGGATTACTCAAAGGAAGTTTCAGGAGGCTGAAGAAATATTTGGATATAAATGAGCCAAAAAATATTGTGGAAATAATTCTGGCATGCTGTGTCTTACATAACATTTGCATTTTGGAGAGAGAAAATGAAGAAATACAACAATATATAAATGAAGGCCAGCATAATATATTACTCCAATTCATGGACTGTGACATGGAAGCTGAGAGGGATGGAATGAATATCAGAAATGAAATATGCAGGGATTTGTGGAATAGGAGACAACAACATCGAATTTGAGAGAATAAATTTCTGTTTGTACATATTCTCAAGACTATCTTGAAATAAATATTTGTTGATATATGTATAACATCATTTTACTCATAATCTTCTACAAATTTCAAGAAAAAGCTGTTTTCCTTATTGTCTCACTCCAGGATGATATTTTTCTGTAAGAAACAGTTCAACAAGGGACATTTCATTGTACTAAAAATAGAATTAGTGATTCAGTTTGAACATTTATCAATTTATTCACCCAGGAAGTGAATAAATATTCATTCTGCACTTTGGATACATGAAAGCTTAATCAATAATAACCAAAACATCTATATTCTAATGATGAAGGAGAACAATATTGATTGTGCTATACAATGTCAACTTTCCTGTCATTTTGCTATCTTCATTCATGAACTGAACATTCAATAAAAATCTAATCACTATTTGAAAAAACAGGTACATAAATCATAAGTAAAAGAATGGTCCTGAACCAAAAATTCAAATGTTCTCATGGTATTTTATTTTTCAATAAAGTTAATATCTCCGATAAAACGCCATTTGTGTCTGCATGTTGCTCTTGCACCAACTGCAATCATCTTTCTTCTCTACGTTCCACATCTGCTTTGTATTCATTCAGCCAATGGAGCATATCTGTTCTAGGTGAACTCCTCACTTTCTTCTTTTTCTTATCATTTTCTTTTCCTGAAGAACATTGGGGGGTTTGCACGTCATCACCATTTTTTTTCATTTGTACTGGAAGTGGCCATAGATTTTGAGATGCTCGAGCAAGCTGCTGGTGGGGTTATCCCAGGTCTTCCACCCAAATAATTTGCCTCTTGTTCAAAGTATTGCCACTCCTTAGGGTGATTTCCACTTCTAGCATTGTGATCTTTCACTTCCTTGTATTTCACAATCAGTGTCTTCATGCGGTTCGCACATTGATCAGCACTGAATTTATGTAGTTGTGTTCCAGTAGAAATAGTTTTAAATATTTCAACCTCCTTGTACCTAGGATTAGTAAGTTCATCATGATGTTGTTGGCATAGGTCTAATAGTGATAAAGTTTGATCTTTATCCCAAACATTGGCCTTTGCCCCAATATGATTCCCAGGTGTATATCCAACATTATTGGTGCAGCTGTCATTGCTGCTAGGCTCAAAATCGGGGGACTCAACTTCCAGTACAGGCTTCGCAGGACAGAAAAGATCACTGTGTTCACCCTGTAGTTCAACCAATTGGTAACTATTTGCTGAAAAATGAAAAATATCAACAATGTGAAAGTAGGTAGTTTCAACTCAAAGAAAATAATGATAAAATACTCACTTTGTCTGTTATACCACAGAATCTGGCCATCATCAGTCCTCATCAACTGGTCCATCTCTAGAAATACATAGATTATCTTGATCTAGAACTCCTGGGACTCCTGAAAGACCGCCAAACAAGTCGGAATAAAACAATAACTTCAATTGTCACCTCCCACTTCCACAATCCATCGATTCCTTCGGAGTTCGGAGACCGAAGCAAAAGTAGCAACTGGAATCAGAATCAGTCGTGAATAAAACGACTAAAATACTAAAACCAGAAGTGGAAGAGAAAAAATAATACGCAACTTATGCCACTAGTAAAATTGCTAGCTATGGAAAGGGATTCAGGTGCATCAAAGTCTGTGCATGATTTATTTTGGGAATCTTACGAACATTTTGCTGGTGAGGGCACATCAGGAAGTTCGAAGCGAAAACGAAAACAAAGGTCTGCTTTTGTTGAGGTACTGAATGGTGAAACGACAATAAATTAAGATTTCCCATTCTTTTTCCTCAGACTGCCATATACCTGTCTGCACCAGCTGGAAATTTCCCCAGCGAACAAGATTTCTCTGAAGCTGGTAATATTTATGATGCAAAACGTAGCAGGCTAACTCCTGATAGGGCAGAAAGCTTATTGTTTTTGCATCACAACCTACCAAAACTGAATTAAAGTGTTTAAAAGTGTTTTTAACCGCCAGCTTAGTTGCAAAGCAACCCTCGAAAGTCAGAGACTTGTGTGAGTTAAGAAGACGGGGACCTTAGCTTTTTAAGTGTCATCCGAAGCACTACTCGGCTGGTAACCGTGGATTATCAGTATAAATCAGTATAAATCAGTTATTTTTGTATTTTAGTAAGGTGAAATAATTTCACCTTATAGTTGCAATCCGCATAGGGTTTTATTTTGTTAACTTTTAATTACTAGTCAAAGAATTTAGTTGATTTTACGTTCCATACTTTTTATTGGTAATAAAGATATATTTTTGATGGAAGTGTATTTTTTTCATTCATTTTTCAAATTGATTTTTTTTCAATAAAAAAATATATTGGTCTATCGGTTTTTGATATCGGCCGATACGATAATCGGCCAATGAGGCCGATATCACCGATAAGCCGATATAAATATCGGTATCGGTCGATCCCTACTTCAGGAGTTGAAAAGTATTCAGCTAACTTATCTCTATTTCTCTGCAAACTTCTGTTAGAGTTGTTTGAACCAAAACTCCTAATTCCTCTAAATCTGAATGTATCTTGTCCCCACTGACCTTCAATAAAATTAGCATCCACATCTATTTCATCCTCATATCCTGGTGAACAATATTTGTCATTTTGATCTGAAGACATTTTGATAAAATTATGTAGTACAACTGTAGCACACACAATTTTTTTAACTAAATCTTCTTGGGCTATGATGGTTTGACGCAAAATTCTAAATCTTTGTGCCAGTATTCCAAATGCACACTCAATAGTGTTTCTGGCCCTGGATAATCTCAAATTGAAGATAGTATATTCAGGAAGATATTTTCCTGGATATGGTCTCATGATATTCTTTTGTAAGGGAAATGCCTGGTCTGCACAAAAAAAAAAGAAGCTGGATCATCATGGTTTGATCCTGGGCAGCCTATATCAATGAGAAGAAATGTATGTGAAGCATCACAAATAGCCATCAATGAAACCTCAAAATTTCAAGAGGAAATTGAAAATATTTTTAGCCGACAATGGTTTTTATACTGTGGATGAATTTAAACTAGCTGTCGGTACTATTTGACTATAATTTTATAAATAATATGAAGTTTTACATGTTAATTTATTTTTTTTCTCTTTTACTTGAAGATGGAACATTAACAAATGTGTTCCATATAAGAATATGTATCACATATACTTTTAATCTAGTATTATGTATTTTATATTTATTTATTTATTTTTTTAAATTGTAGTTTTGTACCCTTTACCATCATGTGTGACTTATCCTATCTATACATGTTGTAGCACAAAGGATTAATAAACTCTATCTATCTATCTATCTATCTATCTATCTACAATACTGAATGTCTTCTTGTATGGAAAATATTCACTTCCAGCATATTTGGGACTTTGAATTTGAATGTGTTTTCCATCAACTGCACCTATGCAGTTTGGCATATTCCATTTTCATAGAATACTTCTGAAATTTTTTGCCATTCGATTTTCTCCGGAAAAACTATGGGACACAGAACATTCCAGAGTGCATCACATGTCTCCTCTGATATTATATGAACTGTTCTTAGTTCAACATGATTGTCCCAAGCAACCTGCTGGATGGAACATCCCTCTGAGAGGTAACTGGAATTTAACTCTGTGAATTTTTGGTATCAGTTATGAATTTATACCTACTGCAAAGTTATCATGAGTCGCTTCACTAAAATTGGATCACCTCGTGAATCTTTTACTAAGTATGGATAAAGTAGTTCCACCAAGTCATTAAATAAAGCAGTTGACATCCTTGTATACTTGAAAAATTGAATTCCATCAAAATTTTCCATCATTTTCAAGTAGAAATGGAATTGGGAATGAGTATCCCTTTGCCTGTTGATAGGTCTAATTTTATACCTTCAATTTCCCCGTTACTTTTTAACAAGAGTTGAATAAACTCCAAACGCCGAAATCATTAGGAAACTTGTTAGCGTAATGGTCCCCATAGCACATAAATTCAATTTTATTCCTATTTTCTTCAATTAGGTGTATGCATGAATATCTTAACTTCAAACGATCATGAATTGATTAATTGCGGAAAAAGTTATGTCACATATCAGTCACATTACTTTGTGGAACATGCGCACGTCCAATTTTCATTTATGCTCATTTAAAACACATATCTTGAGTTAAAAGTTGGCCAACTTCTCAAATTTTAAGCTTAAAATCATAAATCTCAGATGGTTTTATAACCATACTGATGTGATTCCTATGTATCACTGTTTCAAATGTTGAATCTTGGGTGTTGAATGATTAATTTTAGGCCTTAAAGTTTTTTATAAAGCCACTCGAATAGACAAAATAACAATGTATATTCATGTTTACCTCTGACCAATCCCTGGGTTTTCCTGCAATAACTTCTTGAAATACCTATAAACTTTGCATATTGAAGCAGTGTGAATGATAATTCAATTCAACTCCAGAGACTCTCTCAAACACCTGACACATAAAACTACCAGAATAATAGGGTGATTCGGGCAAAAGACAATTTAATTAAAAGTGATGTATAATCTTTGTTTGCCAACCAGACACAATCTTGCCAGCTGAAATGTAACGTGGTTTGGATTGCCTTATTGAATTCTGTGGGTCTATGGTGTGCATGGTTCTTCTTCTTTTCGATTTGGATGGCCTTAGTTACCAGGAATATCTGGCTAAGTACGCGCAGTATTTGATTTGTTGACCTCTATATTGGGGCCCACCATGAAATGGATCTGGGACATTCCATACCCCTAGAGGATCCTGCTGAAATTAAAACATTGCATTTATTTATATAATGCTCTACAAGCACTATCATCCAACTCTACTGCAGTCCATCATGCATGTTACTAAGCGAAGCAATTGTCTCTAGTCTAAAAAGCAGCACTTAAAGTTCGCTATTAGTTTCTCACTTTCAAAGTTTGAGGCCCGAATTACTGAGAAATTGAGAAATTAGCTTGCACTTTTCAACAGATAAATTTTCAAATAGAATGTTGTGAAGTGAGAGAGGGCCGTTTCCTCCTCCCTTGCTAAGGTCATTCCTGGACAATAACTGATATAAAATATTCAGATTGTACTGGTTATTTGAGCAGTTGAAAAGGAAATGTTCCAGATCTTGAGTGAGGCCACATTCACCTAATGGAGAGTCTTCAACTTTGATTCTGTATAGGTGGATATTAGTGAGACAATGTCCGCTTCTCATTCGGCATAACGTTGTTATGTCACTTCTCGATAGGGAAGGAAATAATTCAAACCAGGGAACTCTCAACGGTGTGTTTATGGAAGGAGTGTATTTCCTTTCTTTATATCTACTCAACTCGCGGTATGTATTCATCGATTTACTCCAAGCTTGCTGTTTCAGAAGAATTTGAATATCCTGATACCTTGTTCGAACTCTTTGAATGACCTGGAGATTACATCCTGCTTTGGCCAATGCATCTGCCCTCTCATCACCATATATACCTGTGGACTTAGTATCCACACCGATTCCACTGATTTTCCTGCCGAATTGATTTGTTCTGTCATTTCTCTTGCCTTCAACGTCCAATAATCTCTTTTTGGAGAGGTGTCACATCTTGCTATCCTCTCCAATGCACTTTTTAAGTCTGACAATACAATTGACTGATTTAGACCAAGTTCTTGAATCTTCTCTAGTGCTCTATTGATTGCAACAATTTCTGTAGTACATATAGAAAATGTCATGGGAAGTCTTCCTGATAGGCAAATTTTGTTTGCTGAGTACACCCCATAGCCATTGCCATCATTCGATTTTGATCCATCCGTGAAAGTCAATGTCTCAGTAGGCCATTTTCTGTGAATTCCAGTTTATCATCATTATGCTTCCTCAGGCCCATGTCCAAAATAGGAATGGGAAAATTCTATGTGGAAATTGGAAAGCGGTAGCATGGAAATAATGGAGAATCTGTGAATTGACGATAGATGTTAAAAATGAAGAGGCATCAATAAGGGGCGGGATCGTAGAATATCTTCCAAACAAGTTTCTAGTCATATAGGTCGTATAAAAATTGGTTACCCACCTGCTGGTAGGATTGACAAAAGAAAACAGCTTCAAGAGAAACTTTCCAGCCAGCCAGAACCTTCTCATTTCCAGAAGCATTTCTCCAGATTCCGAAAGCAAAACAATAGTTGGGGTGGATCTCATTGAATCTAGTACTATACGTAGAGCCTGAAATTGAATTCTATCAAGATTACTCACAAGCCTTTTGCTACACATGCCATATAGAATGCGTCCAAAATCCAAATGTGGTCTAACTAGATTTAGATAAGTGAACATTATCATAGGCAGATGTTACATCCAATATTGTCATAAAGGAATATTCCTTCAAAGCTTGAGAGCACTGAGTTCGAC